CGGGTGCGCAGCGCCACCTGCCGGCCGGCCTTGCGGGGCTGGGCCAGGCGGGAGGTCCGGGCCAGGCGCACCTGGGCTCTTGGTCCGATCCGGTTCCTTCCTCCCTTCTCCCTCCGTCTCTGTGTCCTCTCTATCTCCGTACTTGTCCGATCCGGTTCCTTCCTCCCTTCTCCCTCCGTCTCCGCGTCCTCTCTACCTCTGTACTTGTGCTCGGTATTCACTGCGCACTCATTGTACACCAGCCGGGGTCCCGGCCCCCGGGGTAGAACGGCGACAAACAGCCAGGTCCCACCCCGAGCTGACAGTCTGGAGAGGAGACGAACCGCACCCAAGGGGACTGGGTTCCAGGCAGAGCAACTTAGAGAGCCAGACCAGGCGGGTGGAAGGGGTCCCCACCTAGGAGGTCTCCAATGAGGGGCAGGGAAGGAATCAGGACCAAGAGGCCTGGAGAGGAGGCCTTCTAGGCACAGCCCAGGTGGCCCCCATTGGAGGCCACCACCCCCCCAGGGTGTCCAGACTCCATCTGGCTTCATCACCTGCCCCCCACCCGGGGACCACCCCCGGCAGCCCTGAACTGGAGACAGTCGATATGGGGACAGCATGGAGAGGGCAGAGGTCTCAGTGGGACCTGGCCAGCCACCACGAAATGTGTGCAAACTGAGACCCACAGCAGGAAGTCCCAGCCAAGGTCCTGTAGCTACTTGGCGTCTATTAAACACCCTCAAGGGGCACCCACCATGTGCTCCAGACTGACCTTGGGACAAACACAGGGCAGAAGTTCCCCAGGCAACCCCAGGCAGGGCCAGGTGAGCCATTCCCTCTGCCAGGCCAGGGCCCACCCCTCCACTCTTCCCCTGGCGATAGACCCGCCAGCACCCATCTAGGCCTCTTCAGAGAAAGAGCAGGGCAAGGCTGAGGTCCCAGGCCTCCAACGCTGGGGAAAGACTGGGAATGGGGTTCCTCCAGGCCCCTGAGGAATTGAGGCAGCACCCTTGCTGGGAAATGTCCCACAGCATGGGCAGCAGGGCCAGCTCCCCATACCAGCACTAGGGACAGCAGTGGAGGGCCTGGCTGGACATCTGGGAAGGCCTCTTTGAGGGTGGGCCCTCATACCCTCTGTGACGTGGATTCCCAACCTGCCAGGTTCAGATGGAGGGTCCTGTGCAGCTGTTGGAACATCTGGCCTGGCACAGGACGCAGGAACAGCGCCAGTCATCCTGGGGTTGAAGGGAGCCTGGCTGGGCGGTCGGAGGGGAGACAGTTCTGTCCCAGCCTGGACACATCTCACCCAGCACGTTTTCCAGACTCCCCGAGAGGGCTGCGCAGTCCCTGAAGTCCTGCCCAGACTTTGGCCAGTTTGTTTTGGTTTAAATAAAAGGAATCCTCTAAGTATTATTCTCAAGAAGCCTGTGACAAGTCACTGGGCACCTACTGCCCTTGGAGCGCGTCCCGCCAGTCCAGATGAGAAGATGGGGCCTCTGCTCCCAGGCCCTGCTACTGAGGGCAGGCTCTCGTGAGTCACTCTTGTGGCCCAGCTGTGGAGTGTGGATAATCGTCCCCACTGGTGGATGGGGGAAAGGACTCAGAGAAGTTCATTGCCGACCTGAGGTCACCCAGCTATAGATGCAGAGGCCAGAATCCAACTGCTTTTCTGACCTCGGGACCACTCAGCATCACCTGGATTTTGTGTCCCTTGTGTGAGGAGCCCTCAGGGACTTCACCCCTCTGGGGCTCAGATCCCAGCTGCCCACCCACAGCTCAGCTGACCCTGAGACTTGCATCACTAAGGCCTGGACCACGGGTGACACAACACCCTGCCAGGCCCTTCCCAGAACCCTACGCTGCCTGCGTCCACATGAGCCAAGGAATAGCACCAGCTCATCCCTTCTGTAAACCCGAGCTCAGGGCGGCTGGGACTCCCCCAGGTCAGTGGCTCCCAGCTGTGGCTGGACATGGGGCACAGTGATGAAGGAGTAGGATGACGCCCCCAGAGGGAGGGATAGATGCTCAGGAAACCAATGTCAGCCACCAGGAGCTCCTGGAAGGAAAGAAAGCTGCCACGGGATAAAGACAGACGAGGTGCTAGGACCACAGAAGTCTCCACGTCTGGAAATGACATGGGGCTGACCACCCAGGAGGGGATGGCGGGAGGGAGCCGGCCGGGGCACACCCACCCCACCTCGGAGATGCCCCAGGAGCAGGACTGATGGAGTGAGGGATACCAAGCCTGCAGGGGCTGCAAGGCCAGCCCAGTGTGGCTGAACACACCAGAGAAATGTGACCCCCTGTCCCTCTGGTGACACCACATGATGACCCACAATGCCCAGGGCCGAAGACAGGAGACCAGCTGCTCGCCTCCTCTCCTCACAAGCTGCCCCCAGCTCCACGCCTCGAACTGGGCTCCAGGCAGAATCACAACCAGTCCCCATGGTTGGCGACTCCACAATCTGGCATAGGAGACACCAGGCAGACAGTGACCTAGGAAGCAGGAGGGCTCTGGGCACCTAAGGGAAGGGGAGCTGCTTCACTGACCCAGGGAAGAAGGTGACAGTGATGGTCATGTGACAGCATCTGCACTTCTTCCCTAGTTCACCCCCAAGGGTGAGTTGCCGTGCCAACCCTGTCTTCCACCAACTCCCCCTCAGAGCCACGTGGGAGGACTTTGGAAAAATCTCAATGCCCAGGTCCTGCCCCAGACCTTCGGAGTTGGAACCCTACTCTTCTGCCACCCCTAAGTTCCCTGGGTGGTTCAAATGTGCACCTGGCTGTGAGCGCCCTGCCCCAGGGCTGGGGGTTGAGCCTGGGGCTTTGCACAGGCTAAGCAAGTACTCTACCGCTGAGCTGCATCCCCAGCCTCTGCATGACTTTTTGAAGGTGGTATATGTCTGTAATCCCAGCTACTCAGGAAGCTGAGGCAGGAGGACCACAAGTTCAAGGCCAGCCTGGGCAATTTAGTGAGATCTGGTTCCCCCCACCCTTTGTTTTGCTTTGTTTTTTGAGACAGGGTCTCACTATGTAGTTCAGGCTGGCCTTGGACACATTATGTAGCCCAGGCTGGCCTCGAACTCACTGCAGTCCTCCCTCAGCCACTGGAGTGCTGAGATTACAGGCGTGCACCATCATGTCTGGCTTTTGTCCCAATTTTTTTTAAAAATAAGAAATAATAAATAAAAAATTAAAAAGTCAAACAAAAAGTAACATAGAGGAGAAAAATAACTCAGGTGGAAGTAGATGCTGAAGACCCAGCGCATTAGTAGGACCCCGATAAATGATGCTTTTCACGAGAGGTCAGTAGGGGCTCAGTTGAATCCGGTGCAAATCCTTCACCAGAGAGAGCCACGCCTGCCCGCCGGCTCCACGATAGTGCTCCGCACCCAGAGGAGGGCAGAGCCCTTTGTCTTTCCAGCGTTTAATCAGACCACTTGCTCATTAAAAGTCCCCAGCTTTTTTAAATTATTGAGGATCTCTAGTGATAATGCTTTAATTTATCTCTATAAGTGTGGCAGCACTTGAACTGTGCACCTCCCTGAGCAGGGCCTGCCTCTGGCGAGTGAGGAGTCAGTGCCCGACTGGCACCACTGGGAGGAGGCACGGGAGACCGGGCTGCTTGAAGCCCCAGGCCGCTCTCGAGCCCACCTCCTGCTCCACTCGGAAGTTCTGCTCCTCCTCTCTGGACAGGCGGGTGCCGGGGTCATGAGGAAGTCACCTAATGACTTCCAGCTCCAACGAGGGTCAGAGGTGACAAGTGCGACCGTCTTGTTATCAGAGGGTCAGGGGCAACAGAGCAAGGCAGTGGGGGACAGCAGATCGGAATGGCCAGGTCTGCACATTTAAAGGACTTCCTGCCGCTGTGTCGGGGCAGAGGCAGGGACAGTTCGTCCCTCTGGACCCCACCTCTGGGGACCAGCCAGACCCTGAGGGGGAAGAATGAAGGAGCTGGCTCCCATCCTCCACATGAAGCACCTACTGTGTGCCTGGCACTGTTTCAGCCCACAAGGGAGGTGTCAGGGAACCACCCGGCCCAATCCCGCCCTCGCAGGCTCGTATTGTGATTGGAGGCACAGACAGCCTCTAGTAGAGGCAAGGAGAACAAAGCGGACAGGAGGACCATGACGGCTGGGGTCCCACAGTCCCTCCCAGCGCATGCCCCAGGGGCCTAAGGACCTCCCACTCAGTGCCACCTCTTGTAGTCGGGACCAAGGCACCACTCATGGCAGTGACCCTTGGGGGTCACAGGTAACCCTATCCAAGCTGGCGTGTTTTGTGCAGATGACCAAGTGCCTGCATGATGCTCAGAGCCCCTGGGACATGCTGTGGGGTATGCCGCAGAAACTGGGCCTCCACGGGGGACAAAGACAAATGGCCCCCAAGGAGCCCTGCTGGCATCACACACACACCCTCCGTGGGGTGAGGCGAGGGTCCCCGACGGCCCACCCTGCCATCTTCAGCACGGTCCCAGACCCGGCTGGGTGCGGGGTGCGGTCATTCACAAGCCCACGCCTCTCAGCGGAGCCGAGCAGGAAGTCCTCC